TATATGCCTTTGGTCAATTCCCAGAGTGCTGAAATGATTGTTTTTGTGAATCTTCTCCAGCTTTAAATGTTTTTTTTAATGGAAAAAATTTGCCGCCTCCTCATGTGGGTTTAGTTGGAACTCTCCTATAATAGTTGCTTTTTATATTTTATCTATTAAATTCTACTATTGGTATCATTTGGGGTTTGTTTGAAATTGGTTGTTTTTTTCTCTACATCATTCATAATTTTCCTGTTTTGCAAAGCCTGGTCTTTATTGACCAGATGCTACACACTGTGGCCTTTACAATGTTGGATGCTGGAGTTTATGCATTGCTTTAAATATGTGTCAACTTTATTGAGACACAGAACAATTTGATTCTTCTGAGGAATGATTTTCAGATATTTTAGGTAGATTCAGAACATCCACTAATCTCAGGATAATTTAGTCCCACTAAGACGCAATACTCTTCTTCTTGGGACTCTACTTGATGCCCCATGTGTCAAGAGATCTTGCACTCCGGCTAGTGGAAATGGAATGGTTCTTTGTGAGCTGTGTAATTATTTTGCCTACTACATTCTGCTATTGTTCCCTGACTTCAGTTAGTGTTTTTCACATTAATGTGTTAATCAGTGCCCAGCATACAGGGACTCTTTTGGAAAACGTTAGCATTCTGTTGTGTGTAGCTCTCTCTCCTCTCTAGTACCCCACCTCACACATTCTAGGTATGTAAGCATCCTTAAACTCTGAACTCCTTCTCTCTACTCGGGGAGCCTGCCAAGTTCACTACACAATTGCATAGAAATTCCTTGTAGATGGTAAGATGGAACAAGCCTAGTCCTTCCCTGTTTCTCTTCTTACAGGGATCATGTCCTGTATTCCTTTTAAAAACACCTGAAAGTCATTGTATTTGGTTAACAATGGAAATAACTATTTAGTTAGGATCTCTCTCAGCCTCAGAACGTAAGTAGACAACTAGACATTTCAGCTCCAACCACTAAAACTACTACACCACCTCCCTTATTACTACCATCACGACTATCATCACTACCGTTAATACTTATGGAACACCTGCTAGAGGATCTGTTGTCTCATTTAAGACCCATACAAATATTAACTTCTGTTGTAGAGAAGAGAAAACTAAAGCCAAAAGAAGTCAACTTGCCCAAGGTGACACAGCTAGTAAAAGTGATAGAATGGATATTTGAATGGAAATATACTGACTTCTGTTGTTGACAGTTACAGTAGTAACAATTCTGAGGAAAAACAATGCATAAGACCATTTATGTTTTCATTACCTTCAGCAACTTTGCCCTCTATAAAGTGTGAATTTAAAACAAGCAATTATGTTATATAGAGGAAAAGTAATGGCTATAGAAAGAACAATGAGAGATTTTGGTGATCTTAATTCTTCTTCTAATCAGCAAACTATGAGATTATTTTCAAAAGTACTTCAATAATAAAAGCTGTTTTAAAATTTAAAACATTTGGTGTATACCTTCATTGATATATTTTTACCCTCCTAAACAACAAACTATCAAATATGAGAAATGCTTCCTTTGTCATTAAGATTAAATATAACCAAGTCAAATTACATATAGAATTTGCATGTGGTCAAATGAGTAATAAAATTCAGTTGGCCCACAAACATGGAATGGTAAAAGTAGATATACAATAGAATTTAACCAGGGAACATTTTACTTATCCAGCAAAGGCTTAGTTTGGTGCAGTTTCAGTTGGCTAACACTTAGGAATTGACTTCTTCATGTTAAAATATTTAATACCAAATAGTTCAAGTCATTGATGGTTGATACACTCTCACAACTACGGTTAAACCAAGTATTTTTATTTCACCCTGAGTGTTCTGACTCTTCATCATGGAGCACGAACTGCTGGAATGCAAGTTAGCTTGTTTCCATAAGTAATACTGTTTTATGAAATGTAAATTGTCTATTGTCACATTTCAGTTTTTCTAACAACAAAACATAAAAAAATGTTCATCTATTTTTGTTGAACACTCTAAAAGAATGGGTGGCATTAAACTGGCAAACTATGTCTTAACAGTTTACTCTTTTGATCTTTGATTTTCAGAGTCCATTTTCCCCCTGACTTTCTGAAATCTCAAAATTCCCACTCCATTTTTTAGAAAATAAAACAAGTTCAGTGATTGTATAGTATAGAATGCTGAGTCTCAGCTGTTTTCCTTGTTACAAAAATTCTCCAAATGCGGTACTTTTGCCATGTAGTAATAAAGTATCTACATTTAGCATACAAGTCCAAGTAGGTAAGTCAACTATCTAAAACAATTGTTTGGGCCAAGGATTTGGCTCAGAGGCTCCACCGTCTGCCTTGCAAGCACAAGGACCCAAGTTTGATCCCAGTACCAAAATAATAATAATAATAATAATAATAATAATAATAATAATAATAATAATTAAAATAATTGTTTCTCTAAAAATATCTGATTTTAGTAATTCATTAATATAAAGCAAATGCAATCATAAAAAGAAGCCAGTACCAGCTGCAGCACAAAGCTAAAATGGCTCATCAATGTCCCTCTATTGCTAAGTCCCTCCTGAATGCCCAGTTTCAAGACACTGAAAATCAGTGGGGAAATGTATCTGTTAATGTCCCAGCCATAACCTGAGAAGCTTGTTTATTGTATACATTATATGGCATCAAAGGCATGATGAGATAATGATACCATATATTCCTCAGAGCTGCCATTTAAGTAGGAGACCTTTATCAAGAAACTGCAATAAGCCCAGCATTAAATCCTTTATTATCTCCCCTTTTACATCTAAGAATTCAAGATCCTCCTTCTCTGGTACTACAAATTGTCCCCACCTATTTGAGAAACAAGGAAGGAAATGGCATAAGTCTATGATAAAGTCTGGCAATAAAACCATGGCCATTTATCCCAATGAACATTAAAAATTAAAAGCTAGAATCCAAAGGAAGAAATTTTGTGAGAAGTGAGTTTGCAGATTTAGGTTAAGATCTCACAATATGGCACTATTGTTATCAAAAGGAAACACCTGTTTCTCAATGCTCAATCATGAAATGTACCAGAAAGAAGAGCATTTTGGGGATCCTTTATATTGCTATGGTTCCTGCTGTTTATTCCTAGCATATCCTGGTTCATTCACTACCTTTCTTGGGAAGCTATTTTCCAAACTGTTTCCACAATCCTACAAAGCAAATACCTTAACTTGAGTTACAGGGCTGGTCCCTCTCTTTTCATTTTTTATCCCAGTAGGTGAGACGGCGCCTGCTGTGTTTGGAGGCTGTGGAGTTGATGGTATCTTTGCTCCAGGTGACACCTGCATGTTGGCCAGCTGAGTGGCATAGAGCTGCTGCAAAACAGAGAAGACATACATTGATCTCTTTAAACACAGCAGAAACAGAGTTTCAGGGGGGAGAAAAACTTACCGTATTGTTAGGTAACTATTTCTCTGACAGCCTTGTGATTACTCTTTACCATTTTTAAAAAGGAAAACAAAACAAACAACACAAAAACAAATAACACAACAGAAAGAAAAAGCACTTGTGTGGGGGGTCATGGTTCTATACCTGTTTCTTTCAGCAGTTAACATTACAATCCTGAACAAAGGACTTGATCTCTGTAGAACTCAGTGTCCTAAATTCCAAAAATGAATTTGACTAAGTAGTCTCTAAGATCCTACTGCCTGAATTCCCTGTATAAGCTTCTTTAAATGTCTGGTATATCCCCTCATGTGAGTTTATTATTCCTAACTCGGAAACTACCCTGAACTTTTCTATACATTCTTGGAAGAACTACATCATTCCCATTCTGCACTGACTGAGCGTCTCTGGGATCTGACCTTCCTGGATGCTGACTGCTGTGGTGGTTACTCTCTCCTTGGAGTTATTTCTAGACAGCATATAAATAATATAATCTTCAACAGAATATCGCCAGATTTGCAACAATAAAAACAGCAAGTCGAGTTTCTTTCTGACAGCACAGGAGCTGCCCATTTGATTCTGAACTTGAATAAGGTAACAAAGAGCTCTTTCATGCCCCTGCTTTCACCATTGCCGACCTATCACTTTTCCCTGCCTGAACTGTTTGTTTGTTTGTGATAGCACATTCTCTAGGGGCTACTTGAGAAAGTGGTATGTGATGTTAATTTTTTAGGGACTAATACCTCTAGAAGTATTATTATATTCCTTCCACTTGATTATAGTTTGAATTTTAAATTGAAAATAATTCTCTGAGAATCCCAAAGACAATATTATCTGTGGTCTTCTTATTCTTATTGCTAAAGTTGGATGTTATTGTGGTTCCTGATCCTATGTATGGAATCTAGTTTCTCCCTCAAAAGCCTTAGGATCTTCCCTTTGTACCATATATTTTGAAATTTCACTAAGGGGTCCACCCATGTACATACACATTCTAGAAATTCAATCAGCCCTTTGAATCTATAAACTTGTGTACTTCAATTCTAGGTAAGTTTTCCGGTATATTTCATTAATGGCTTTCCTCTCTCTGTTTTCTTTCTTAAACTCATATTAGATAAACTTTGGGCTTCTTCATTGACCCCCTCTTTCTGCTCTCTATTATACTAGATATTAATGGTCAGTTTGAGATTTTGTTTTATTTTGTTTTCGCTGCATTATTGTCTCTTGCTTCTTCCAATTTCTCTTAGTTCTTTCCCATTACAAACTTTCCTAAAGTCTCTGGTGTTCACTGACCTTTTATTCATCTCTGAGAATGACAAACTCAAAAGTTTACTAGCAGGTCTGAGTCTGGGCTTAGATTTATTGGCTGATAACAATGCAGACAGTTGGATTATACTTTGAAGAATCCCAAATGTCATTATCAGTAGGTCATTTCTTTTATACAGGACCATTTCCATAGAGTCATCTTTAGGTTCTTTCCTTGGTTGCAGAATAGGATTGTGTGCCATCAGTACATGAGCCTAGAACTGGGAGATCTCACTGGCTGGCCTATCGTGTAGCCTTCTTGTTTTCAAATAGCACAATTACTCATTCTTTAGTGTGCTTGATGTTCCCAAGACAAAAAAAACTGTCAGGTCCAACTCCTCTAGAGAAAAAATTTCCAGTCTGCTGGTAGATTATGCGATAGAGGTTGGGAGGAAGGGATGGTAGTTACCATGTTGAATAAGGTTAGAGGAGAGGGATCAAATTTATATCTATTTTCAACCAAACATGTCTACAATTTCACTTTTTATCCTTGTCTTCAGTAATATATGATGTCTTCAATTCCTAAGTATTTCAAAAATTCTGCTCACATATAAGCTTGATTTTTTTGGCTTTACATTCTTAAAGCTTAGGTATCAGCTCCCCTCCACACACAACAGTTACAAGACATCTATCCATTTCTCATACTCCAAAATATTTCAAAAACTTTCTTGGACTCTCTTCCTATTTCTACCTGAAGATTTATACCTAAAAAACTTAATTGTTGCTATATTAGGATTTTCATAAAATGAGCAATAAATGAATGTGTTAATATGTTATAGTTAACCATAAGTCAGATGCCTCAATGCTTAAAAATTCATTCAAATAATTTCTTTTCCTTTAATCAAGATTAAGCCATTACCGTGATAGTCAAATTTTTATCATAATAAATAGAAAGCTTCCTAGTCATCATCTACAGAGAAAATAGCTGAAACTTTGCTATATTAGTAAGGGAAAAAAACAGGTGGTTTGTATATAATTTCTGACATTACTATTATTCGGATGGACAAATAAAAAATTACAGTAATCAAAAACAGACCTTTCAGCACATGTAATTAAATGAAAGCTTAATAAAGAATAATTTGCAAGAGCCAGATGTGCTTATGTCAAGACTGTTGCTTTCTTTGGAACAATTTTTCTAATACAACAAGCCTCTAAAGAAATTAAAGTTTCATAATTCTGAGTGCAATGATTCAAAGGTAAGAAAAATTCACAAGTAGTAGAGTTAAACTTCTAGAACCTAGACAAAAGAAAGGCTGCCTTTTTTGTTTCCCTTTCATTCTGCTGTGTGAAATTTAGTCAAGTGTCTTTGAAAGGTGAGTAGGTGAAGCTTCTATAAAATTTCTGCTTGGGTTTAGCTAGCAAAGAAAAGCTTCACACTGAAGGGAATTAATAGAAGTGGCTAACTTGAGAAGATATGGGCTATAAAGTAGCCAGCATCATAATCAATATATATCCTACTTAAATCTAATAATACACAATATATGTCATCCTCCTTACACGTCTAACATTTCATGACTTGAAGAATCATCAAAAGATTTAAGAGATATCATTTATGCCTTTAGTTTTTTCTCTGTAATTCAGAAGATCAAAAGAAAGTCCATTTATTTTACTGAATCTTGGTTGTTCAGAAAATTTCAACTAGTGAAAAAAGAAAAATCTTTGGAAACAAATCTATTTTGAAAAAGCTGACTCGATTTAGTGAATCTTCAGATTGAACAATACAGCTGATTTTTAGAAATACAGAAATGTTAGCTTCTCTAAAGTTCTGATAATCGTTTATTTTATAACTTTTTTAGTAAGTTGTACATAATCGAGGCAAAATCCCCACAAACCCCAAGAGTTCTCAGTGCTGACTTTTATGAGTTGTGATTACTGATAAAATAGAGGCACAAGAAGTGTAGCCATGTTCCATGAAACTTACAGATGTGGGTAAATTGAACATTAAGGTAACATATACAATTTAGTAAAATGAGCCTTGAAATAAAAATTAGAAAATGAAGTACAATGAAAAGGTACTCATGAAAATTAAAACAATTCTAACAAAACATTATTTTAGTGATAAATAATGTCCTTAGACTGAAGTTTTAGTTTCAGCTTGGTTAATAAGAATGCCATTCATCGAACAGGCATAAATTTACAAAACAATTTCACAGCTCACCTTCTAAGCTAACACCAATTGAATGTGTTCTATGTGCAAGGCTTTGTGTTAGGAGATGAGGAAGATTCAAAGTCTTGGACCAAGGATATAGTCCTGGAGGAGATGTAAAATATAGATCCTTAACACTTGATTTATTCCTTTCTTGTGGTGCTTATCAATGCTTTTAACCTGTTTAGTTATGCACACACATCTTACTATCCTTGACAGACTGTGAGCATATTGAAGATGTGATCAATAGAATGTTTTGTTTTGTTTGGTACTGGGGATCGAAATCAGGTCCTTGCGCTAGCGAGGCAGGGGGTGGAACCACTGAGCTTAAATCTCCAGCCCCAATCTAATTTTTTTAATACTCAACACCAGTAATGGTTTCTTGCAAACAACATATACCCAATCCATCTTTTCCAAATTAGCACACTATATAGAAGGATTGCACATTAGGAAAGACAGAGTCTATAGATACAGCAACAGAAGGGGTACGAGGTTATATTTATTACATATGCAATAAATAATACTACAGTGTTGAGTTTAAAAAAACAAAAGGAAAATAAATTCAATTCCTGTTAGATTATATTGTTTCAGAAGAAATGGTTCTTCGAAGTGATTTGATAAAATATTTACTAGATAGCTGCTCATTATACACTAGCTTCACTAACTTGATTTAAACTTTGCTAAAATGTTATAGCTTTTGAGCAATACATAAGGTATAATAATAACTTTTTCAGTCTAGTTAATAAGAAATTTAGTTTCTCTAAATGTTACTGCAGCCTTTTCAAAAATATTAAAAAACTAGTTATTTAAAGAACTTTAGTGAGGAAATCCCTTTGCAGACTAAAGGTTTAGGAAGGAAAAAGGTTAAACTCTGATTATTACATAAGGGTTTACAAAGTGTCATTCCACAAAGGATTCTCATAATTTATAGTTGTAATGGTTATAACAAATATTCATTCCTAAACACAGCTGAGGTATAAGAAATCAAGAACATAGTAAAGCTTATAATAGGATTAGCAAAAGTCTTACAAACATTTAAACTTTGGTAAAGACCGTTTCATAAATACATATTTTTCCATCTCGGTTTTGGAAAGTACTCAGTGATTGGGATATTGAAGTGTTTCCTTACCTAAGATACATAAAGGATATATGGTACATACATGTAAAATTCAACCTAGTTAAATATTGGTTTCAAAAATCACTCATTTTATAAAAATCATTTAAGCAATGTTTTTACTTTATGGCTAAAAATGTTCCATCTTCTTTAGTATGTGTAAGTAGTTACCATTAAAATTTTTATGTCTGTAGAAAAAAGATATACTTACAATATGGAAATAAAGGGCCTCGACACATTTAAAGTAGTTCGACCTCCTCGTTCTACTGATGAGGGGTAGCAAACCAAAGTAGGTTTCCCAAGATCATATAATTAGTACTGGAGCTAGAAGTACTTTCTAGCTCTGACTCCAACATTGCCAGAGCATC